GAGCGGCGATGGCAGGGAGGCGGGAGGCTGCTTGGTTGGTGGGTTGGTGGAGTGGGGGGGCAGGGACGAAGTCTTGTTGGCTAGAAAGTGGGGTTGAGCTCTTGGGGGTGTGGCCTTGGGTCTTGACTGAGCATGGTCAGAGGTTTTAGCTTAGAAACCCCCCCCCCTCTCACCCACAGTTGATCACATCTATGAATTGAAATCCTTTGGGCTCCAGATTTGGGCAGGTGGCCAGCTCAGTGGGCCTTTATTCTGGATGCATTTAATATTTCTTATTGTTTCCCTTTTACAAGTAGGATTTCAACATTCATGGATTTAAAAAAAGAAAGGAAAAAAAAGAAAAGAAAAAAAAAGAAGTCAAACTAGCAAAGGCAACATGGCTTGATGTGACTTTTCTTTTTGGAATCACATGTATTGTGAGATGCATTTGACTGCTTGTAGGTCCACCAATTAAAATACAGACGGTTGCTTACTTCTTTTCTAAAATAGACATTTTAAAGTGCAATAAAACTCACACGGCACCTGGAGCTCCATGAAAGTGCCCTGAGGAGTCGAGTCATAATTTGAGGGAGACAGGCTTTTTATAAGAAGGCATCAAATTAATCCATGTAACTCAACGTTGAACTCCGGGGTTCAGAATTAATGGAGTGTGTCCTGGCAGGGAGCTGGGCTGGTTCCCACAGATGAACGTCTGCTCGCTAACAGGCTCTGGTCAAAGCTTTCAAAGTCTCCCAGTAATCATGGCTTTTCTTTCTCTTCCCCCTCAGGTTTTGGATGGTATGCTTGCTCAGTATGGTGCAGTCGAGAGCTGTGAACAAGGTAAATACACACTTTTGTTAATGCTTTGAGTTGCAAGGCTGCTCATAATGTATTTTCACCGCCTCACGCTAAAACACACTGGTTTCAAATTGTTTTTAAAAAAAAAAAAAAAATTAGATTTCATAAGTACATTTGTTTTATTTGCAAAAGAAACCCACGCTGGAGAATTAAATCATGCCGTCATTGAGTGTATTTGTGAACTGACTCTGCTGTGTGTGTGTGTGCTCCAACAGTCAACACTGACACAGAGACTGCAGTCGTCAATGTTCGATACACAGCCAAGGACCAGGCCAGGCTGTGAGTGTACACACGCACGCACACACACACGCACACACACACACAAAAACAAGCATGCATGCAGCGTATTCACATCATTGACCTCCATCTCATCTGTCATGATGTCTTCCACATGGATCTGCCCAAGTTCTTCTTTCTACCCATCATTCTCTAATGGGAGCTCCATCAGCTCCCTCAGTCTAACGTTCCCATCATGCACCTGATTTCCTCCTTCCTAAAACCAGTCTAATTTAATTTGACATGCAATGATGATGGGGAGGCTGGGGAGTGTGTGTATGTTGGAGAGGGAGGGGGTTAAATTAGCCATCTGGTGCCCCCTGGTGTACATGAATCATACTACACTGTTTCGCTCTGCATGAGTGGTTGAAGAAGTCTCCGCTCATACTTGGTTGATTTCACGACAAATCATAATCCTAGAGGCCAGAAAGGCAGGCATGATGTTGAGTGTGCCAGTGTCCTGAGGTTGGAGGGAAAGGTGTCTTTTTGTCTTTTATGTCCATCACTTGAAACCACTTGACGTGAAACCATTTTAATTTGGCCTGGGAATTCAGCTTTGGTTTTAATGTGACTATTCCATGGAGACCAAAATTGACATGGTGACTTAAAACCAGCTTTTTATATAGAGTGATCAGAAAGTTTTTAACCAAGTTAACTTGTAGCTTTTTACTTAATAATAGCAGTCTTAAAGTTGTCTTGTGTTGAATCATACCCACTCACTAAAGCCGTTCTCTACTGGGCTTGGACGTTTTCCAGACTTGTCTTTCACATTAAGGATGCAGCAGCAGATTGTCTGGGTCAGCCACGTTCACAACAGTAAAATGTTCTGAAAATTCAGTGTATGGGTGGTGTCCAGTTAGAGCTCTCAGGAGCAAGGACAATGATGTAAAAATTCCTTCGGCCCTTATCACCAAAAGCTCACAGATCTCGTTGTCTTACTAAATCAGCATCTAAATCAATAGGTGTATTGTGAACCTTTTTCCTCCTGAGATATTTGTTCTATTTTTATTTTTGCGTCTGTAGTATTAGAAATGTCATCAACTTGCTCACTGTGAATTTTCTGGACACTTGAAAAGCAGCTTATAGGTTTTTTGACGTCCCTTTTTGCACCCCAGGGCAATGGAGAAGCTGAATGGATCTATGATGGAGAACTATGCCTTGAAAGTGTCCTATATCCCAGATGAAACGGCAGCGCTGGAGGGTCCTTCACCGGGGGGCAGGAGAGGCTTTAACTCACGGGGACCCCCTCGCGCAGGCTCTCCAGGTCTGGGCGCGCGGCCCAAAGTGCAGTCAGACATCCCACTGCGCATGCTGGTTCCAACGCAGTTTGTAGGCGCCATCATCGGCAAGGAGGGTGCCACTATTCGCAACATCACCAAACAGACCCACTCAAAGTAAGTACACAGAAGTCAGGAATGATACTGAGCATTGCAAGTGAGCTGTGTATAGCCTCCTCTGATTGTACCAGTTATGTGCTGCATTATAGAAATTCTAAATGATCTTCCCTTTTTTCCAGGATTGACATCCACAGGAAAGAGAACGCAGGCGCAGCAGAGAAGCCCATCACGATCCACTCCACCCCTGAGGGATGTTCGAACGCCTGCAGAACCATCATGGAAATCATGCAGAAGGAAGCCATCGACACAAAATTGTACGTTTTTGTAGAAACAACATCAGAGCCTTCGCTCAACTTGGTTCTTACAATGTTATCAGCTTATTAAACTTGTCAAATACCACTGCTACAGCCTTTCTACGAGAAAGCCTAGAACTTAATCAGATTTACAGCAAAAATGGTTTCTCTTGTGATTGTTAAGCTCTTTCTGAAAATACCCAGTAATTATATCGCTTACAATCCAGTCAAAATTAGGGTAATGTATGTAATATGATGCACATAAAAATATACTTTACTAACCAAGACACTTTACGTTGACTGTTTATACATTGAATATGAAAGAACTATAATCTACGGTGCTGATTTTCTGGTTTAAGATGAATGTTAAGTTTCTCTCTGCCCTGTGCAGCACTGAGGAGATTCCACTGAAGATCCTTGCACACAACAACTTTGTAGGAAGACTAATCGGGAAGGAAGGACGCAACCTGAAAAAAATCGAGCAGGACACAGAGACCAAGATCACAATCTCACCGTAAGAGTGCATGACTGATGTCTCTTTCCAGGAATTGTAGTCCTTGCCATTCATAAAACTGGCACATGCATTTTTAATGTTGAAATACTTTCCTGCGGTTTGACAATTGATACCCTTGACACAGTTGCTGTCATGCTCCCTCACTCCTCACGTTTCTTTGTCCAGTCTCCAGGACCTGACCCTGTACAACCCAGAGCGGACCATCACAGTCAAGGGCACCATAGAAGCATGTTCAAGAGCTGAAGAGGAGGTGATGAAGAAGGTCGGGGAGTCTTATGAGAGCGACATGGCTGCTATGAATGTAAGACTCTTAGCACATAACGAGGACAAAGACAAATGCTTCAAATGGGAAGAGTGAAGCCATCTTCAAATTCTAAAGGTCTTTTCCAGTGGAAAGTTTCATTCATCGTTTCAAAAGTAAAATCAGTGACAGATTTGCATAATATCATGAAACTAGATGACCAAAAAACAACTTTAGGAAGGAAATCTGATTCCTGCATCTACATGTACAGTGGTGATGTGAAAATATTGCTTCCGACAGCACTTTCACATCCTGAATAGCCGTCATATAAATACACACAATGAACAAAAACAATTGTTTCCCATAATCTGTTATGTGTTGTGTTAACTAGGTCTCTTACTGATTTATGTGTGAAAATGAGATGTTGGCGATTAAAATGTGGCAGTGATATTACTTGAAACTCAATGTCAGTGAGTACACTTAATCTCAGCCTTGGACATTGAGGCTGCAGTGGCTGCTTTGAATTCTGGGAATGTGAGAGCTGTTCCTGGAAAATGAAGCCTGTTTTGCTGTGTGCAATTTGTTTTTAGTAGAGGGACATGATAAATTAAGCACTTGTTTACTGTTTATACAGGAAATGTACTAGAACAAGATGCGTGAAGAATCTGGGTGGATAATCTTTAAGTTTTTTGATTTACTTTGCACATCTGGGGCTTAATATTAAACCATTGTAAATTTGTAGTGACCAGTGCATTGCCAGTTCCAAACCTGTCTGTTTGGAATGGGCTGTTTTCTTGGTCTGTGGCGATGCCGGTTGCAGCTTTCCTTTCTGAAACTGTAAAAGTGACCTGCAGTAGTTGAATTGAAGCAAGTGAGGACCTGCTGCTGGACTCGGTCAGCAGAACCCTGAACTGGACAAACAGTTGTCATCCCCATTGTCGCGAACGTGCTGTTGTGATTGGCGTCTCCTCAGTTGATGAGTCCCTGCCGCTGCTGATACAGAGCACTGGTCGCCTGTTTAATATTAATATCCAACGTGACGCATATACCAAAATATGAAGTGACAAGTGTCACACAGAGAACTCTCAAAATGGTAGATTATATAAAGTTTTGTCCAGAGTTGCCTCTTGGGTCAAACTTGTGTTTCATATCAATCTTGTGGGCAGTGTTCTCACCTCTTGCTGTTTAAAAAGCCCAGTATGTGAATAAGTTTGGTCTCTAGAGATGATCTCAGTGTTTGTAATAAGCCAGCTCCCTCTTTGCAGTATTTGACCTCTCTCCTCACCACCAACATTATCTGGTGTTACATGCTGTTCCTTTAGGATAAGAGTGTAGAAAAGGGAACTACAAAGATGTAATACTGCATCTTCAAGCTCCTACAGACTCTATATGTGTATGTTCAAAAGTTAAAAACGACCCACACTGTTGGTTTGACTTGAATATGTCCCTCTATTTCTCATGAGGTTGAAATGTAATTTTGTAAATATGATGGATCATTCGTGTGTATTGTGTTGATGAAAATGTTCTCGTTTCCCTCCAGCTCCAGTCCAACCTGATTCCAGGCTTGAATCTGAATGCTTTGGGTTTGTTCCCCAGCGGAGCACCAGGCATGGGTTCCAACATGACCAGTGTCCCACCCCCTGGAGCCCACGGTGGATGTTCATCATTTGGAGTAAGTGACAGTCTTAATGGCCCAGCACACTAGCAGTACAATCCCAGCACTGGCTGTGTTTAATCGTAAACTCACTGTTTCAACTCTTGTTTCAGGATGGTGTAACTAAAGCCAACATTAAGTCGTTAGCCACTCAGTTCCATGTTTCCTTTTTATACTTTTAGTGCAGCCCTTATGGGGGTGAGGGGCCGTTTTGGGCTTCTATGCCGCCGGCGAGCAGCCAGCCCCTTGCTGTAAGTCACCCGTCCAAAAGTGCTTTGCACAGCTTGTGGCTGCTCGTTGCGGGATCATGGGTCTTCTCCAGCTGCCCGTTGATCTTCGATTTTTGTCGGCACACCTCAAGTCTTTCGTGCAGTTAACCTGAGAGATGGGGAGACACAATCCCCTGAGGGAAACAGTAGCTTGGCAAACGAGCGGCCTGTTTGAGAAAGTGCATGTTTTTCAAACGGCGAGTGAGTAAAACATCCTTGGCACAGAGAGCCCTTCTCCAGAGTTTGGAAGCAGCCAACCCAAGTTGTTGGCGTGCCCGAGGCTGACACATTGACTGGAATATTGGGCCAAATCCAAAATCAATTGCACGCCCTGCTAACACAAGTGATTCGCTGTAGCAGCTTGCAACAAGGCATTTGAAAATAATCATCAGTAGTAGCATATTTTCTCATTGAGTGGCGAGAGCACAAGATTCATATCGAGATGCCAATGTCAACCAGATGGAATTACTAAACAGATGCATGTGGCAAACTCAAGATTGTGGCTTTTGTATGGAGTGGAATGAAAGTGGGCCGAAGCAAAATATTGTAAATTATTATCTAACACTGTTTGATGTGCGTGCTTTAAAACAAACTCCTCAGTTTTGGGAACATGCAGTGTGATATATATATATATATATTTTTTTTTTATCTGAAATGAGTTGGAATAAGGTGGCGTTAACAAATCCCATTGTACCTGAACGCAACCTTTACATACTGCAGGATAGATGTGTCTCCTCTGACGAACTGTAATTTTGAAGTGGAGCATGTGTGCGTACGCGTGTGTGCGTGCGTGTGTGTGTGTGTGTCCGTCCCCTCTGCAGCGCGTGTGTGTGTTTCATTCTGTGTGTGTGTGTGTGTGTGGCTGGAGTTGAGTAAGCACTCTGCAGCGTGTGTGTGTTTCTGTGTGTGTGTGTGTGTGTGTGTGTGTGTGTGTGTGTGTGTGTGTGTGAGATCCTTTCCTGGTCCCAGAGTACTTAAGTGTTTCTACCCAGCAGGGACACCCAGAGTCTGAGACGGTTCACCTGTTCATCCCTGCGCTTGCAGTGGGGGCCATCATCGGAAAACAGGGTCAACACATCAAACAGCTGTCACACTTTGCCGGGGCCTCAATTAAGGTTAGTGACGGACACGCCGGTGACGTCGTGAATCTTAATGGTAACGTGCGGATGGCGGCCGTCTTCCCTGTTGTCATTTGACTGATAGCAATTGGAAATGTAAGTGAAGGTTTCTGTTTTTAACACTGGCTGTCTGCCCCACCGCAGATTGCCCCTGCTGAAGGAATGGATGCCAAACTGAGGATGGTAATCATCATAGGACCGCCAGAGGCTCAGTTTAAGGTGCCGTTTCTTCACAGCTCTATCGCACATAAAATACTATTGGTAGAAATAAGAGCGTAGCCACATTGAATTTGATGGTAGCAGCTGTTGGATAAGCAGCTTTTTCAGCCTGCACAGAAAAAGGTTTTTTAACTAAGGCACATTTTCCTGGAAAATTCCTAAATGCAGCACGAGTAATCTGTACTCTGACCTGTTCCGTCTGCAGGCTCAGTGTCGCATCTTTGGCAAACTGAAGGAAGAGAATTTCTTTGGACCTAAGGAGGAGGTGAAGCTGGAGGCTCACATCAAGGTTCCCTCCTTTGCTGCTGGACGAGTCATCGGGAAAGGCGGAAAAACTGTAAGCGTTCGTTTTTCTTAAGTTAATGTAGCACAGATGGGAAGTTTGTTGCAGCAAATAAAAAAAATTTAGTTCTGGTAGTGGCACTGTGTTCTGTAAATCCTCGTTCCTAAGCTGGTTATTTCTGACTCTCTGTTGTGGCTGCAGGTGAATGACCTGCAGAACCTGACGTGTGCAGAGGTGGTGGTGCCCAGGGACCAGGCGCCTGACGAGAACGACCAGGTCATAGTCAAGATTAGCGGACACTTCTTTGCGTGCCAGGTGGGTGTTAATAGATAAAACCTACGTGTGTCAAGAAGCCTTGAATCTGATTTTGCCAGTGCCACGTGATGAGGAAACAGTTTAACAGAGTTAGGGTCATTATAGAAATGCAGTTTATGGATAAACACGGATTGGGACTAA